AGTGGACTCTTAATAAATGAATGAGTTTGGTCCTTTCCCCTCTCTTTCTTTCTCTCATGTTCCCTCTTGCCCATGTGACATCTTCCACCATGTTATAATGCAGCAAGAAGACCCTAACCAGACACCTGTGCTCTTGGATTTCCCAGCCTCCAGAACTATGAGCCAAATAAATTTCTGTTCGTTATAAATAACCTAGTTTGTGGTATTCTGTGATAGCAGCTTAGAACAGGTTAAGACACCATTGTGCTGTAAGAGCAAGCTTTCTCGTCTCCTTATTCACCTAATTCTTTTTTGTTATTTTTGGACAGAGTTTCATTCAGTTGCCCAGGCTAGAATGCCATTGCCTCAGCCTAACTCACAGCAACCTCAAACTTCTGGGTTCAAGCGATCCTCTTGCCTCAGCCTCCCAAGTAGCTGGGACTACTGGCACCTGTCACAACACCCAGGTAATCTTTCTATTTTTAGTAGAAATGGTATCTCCCCCTTGCTCTGGCTGGTCTTGAACTCCTGAGCTCAAGGGATTCTCCCACCTAAGCTCCCAAGAGTGCCAGGATCACAAGTGTGAGCCACTGTGCGCAGCCTCACCTAATTCTTTATATCATTGTGAACATAAACTTCTATTTTATTTGAATAGTTATAATCTTTTGTTTTCTTTCTTTATTTTGATTATTATAGTATCTCAATATTGCTAACTGGAGCTTCAGTAAACTGACTTCTGCATTGTTTTAACATCTCCCCATCACTCATTGAACAATTCCTTATATTCTGGTACAGTAAGATGTTCCAGGTTTATCTTGTCCTACACCTGCACTGGCCCTGTAATTACCCATTTTCTCCAATGAGTGCTAGTTCCGTTAGTGGCTAATGCTATGTAGAAATCAAGATCTGCGTACGCCTGTGATCACTAGGATGTCATTACTCTCAGGTTTTCTTGGTGTATCAAACTAGATACACTAGGAAATACATGTATGCACATACACTATTTATATCTACATGGAAAACCATGAGTTCACGCCAATACCTCCTATTCCAATCCAGTAACACAGAGGTTCATTCTAGCCCTTCTCCTTTACATATTTGTACATCCCTTGGCATTAGTGAGAAATCTGTCTCTCATTGTCCTCTATAGCGTCTACTTATTTGCTCAGGCTCTCTATGGAGTCAATCTTCTACTCTCCACAGGGCTGCTGCCCTACCAGCCTGCTCCCAAGTCCTCCTCACGATGTCCCCAACTCCTGCTGACCATCTCCTCCATCACTCCAACGCTCTCCCCGTGCAGCCCCACTGCCGTCGCACTGCCTTCCTCCTCGCTACCCTCATCTTCCCCTGGGAAACCTTCCATTGCCATACCTCAAACACATAAAAACACTCCCCTTTGTGTTTTCATTTCAGTGTATTCAATTTTGTTCCTCAAGGATAGAGTTACTTGAGACAGGATGAATTGGTTTGGGGGGGGGTTTCATTTTATTTTGTTTCGCCAAATCCCCAGGATGTGGGTATATATGTGTACGCATATACATGTATATATATTTTTCGTTAGTATTTATAGTAAAGAAAGAATATTTGCTTCTTGCTCTTTTAAAAAATTTCATACTTTATTATTTAATTCAATATATGCTTCTTGTTCCTAATTTTTAAAATAGTTGATCAGCAGCACAGGATGGCCAGTATGAAGACTGATTAGAAGGAGGTCTTTGCAGTTTTGCTGGAAAAGATAATCAAGTTATTACTTAACTTGTCTGTCGTGGCCTTTCAGGAACTTTTCCCACGTTGGGTCCTTTTTCCCATGGGAGAGCTGCCTTTGATTTAAAGGCAAAAGCCTACTAATTTGCTTTACTCACCTGTTCATTCATTCATCTATGAATCATTCACCAAATATTTATTGAAGGCCTACTATGTGCCTAGGGCAGGCCTTGGGGATATGGGATCTTTCACACTCTCCCTGCCTGGCCTGAGCTGTCTCTCTGGTGCTCCTTTGTTCTCGGATCCCTCAGGTTCTCTATTTATTGCTTGGCTGGTGCAGGCTATTGGGGTGGTATGTAAAGGGGAAGACTGAGGGGGAGAGTGAAGGAATCGGTGTCTGTTAGCCAGCTTGACCCCCACAGAGGGAACAACTCCTCAGAGAGCCACTTTCCCTTCCCCTTGGGTTGCCAGCTCCTCCCAGCCCACAGAGCAGCCGGTCACAATCCGGTAACACAGCAAAAACAGGGTGTTTATCAGCTGGGTTATCTCTCTTCTGGCTTCTGGGGATCTTCTGTAGGGGCAAGAGGGGAAGAGAGAAGGTGTACACACCCACACCTACTCAGGAGCCTCGCTCTGGGCTGTCCCTCCTTCCTCTGCCTCTCCCCCTCCTTTCTCAGCCCCCTTCCTCAGGAGAAAGGTCTCTGCCAGGGGCCCAAATAGCTCTGGAGCAGCATTCAGCTCAGCACTTGGGCCAAGGAGCCTGGTGGAAAACAGGCTTATTTGCTTTGTGGTCATCTGTTCTCAGCTGAGGGAGGCCTGAGCAGGGTGGGGAACAGCTGCAAGTCACCTTGGGTGACTATGATGTTATCTGGGCCTAACGGTTTCCTTTGGGTAGGCATTTCCGCCCTCCTGTTTGTGAAGCCAGAAACCTGTGCTGGGGCAGCCCGTTCTGAGCAAAAGGGAGGACTAGTTTCAGGAAGAAAGGAAAAGGCCCCAGGGACATAAGACCAGGAGGTCAGTGACGTGCCCATCACCAACTCTGCCCATCACCAACTCTGCCGGGCACCTCTGAAAAGAAGAAAGGAAAAGAATCAGGAGCACAGGCAGGGTGCCTTGTAGGTTACCAGGAAATGTCCTTTCTTGCTGTCATTCTGCCTTCATGTCTTCACCTCTGTAGGCAGGTGGCTGGATAGGAAGGCGCTCGCCATTAACTCTTGGGAACAGGGGCACCTTTCACTGCGCCCCTGAGTGCCTGCCTCTAAATAGAAGAAATATTGGGCCCTTGTTCATTTAAAGCTTGTATGTGAGGCTAAGCATTATAAAAATAGCCACTCTTTCCAGAGCACCTACCCCACCGTATGGGTGAGGAAATGAGAATCAGAGAGGTTAAACGGCTTGTCTAAGGGAATGCCGCTGGAAAGCAGCAGAGCTGGAAGTTAGCCCTAACCTGTCTGTCTCTGAAATCAAGGGTCTTGCCCCTACATTTAGCTGAGTGAAACAAACTAGTCACCACTCTGGCATTAGGACTGCTAGTGTTTTAGAAAGTCAGGCCTGTCAGGCCTAGCGGTTCATGCCTGTAATCCTAGCACTCTGGGAGACTGAGGCAAGTGGATTGCCTGAGTTCAGGAGTTTGACACCAGCCTGAGCAAAACAAGACCCTGCCTCTACAAATAGAAAAACTAGCTGGGCATGGTGGTGGGCACCTGTAGTCCAGCTACTTAGGAGGCTGAGACCAGAGTTTGAGGCTGCTGTGAGCCATAATGCCATGGCACTCCACCCCAAGGTGATTGAGTAAGACGGTCTCCAAAAAAAAAAAAAAAAAAGGTCAGGCCTTAAAAGATTCTACAACAGGGCAGCACCTGTGGCTCAAAGGAATAGGGTGCTGGCCCCATATACTGGAGGTGGTGGGTTCAAACTTGGCACCAGCCAAAAACTGAAAAAAAAAAAAAAGATTCTACAACAGGAAAGAAGCACTATTTCTAAGAGTGGTAACCAAAATGCCAATCTAAATGCCTGCAAGTCCACAGATGGTGCTGGGATGAGCAGAATCAGGGCAGTTCTTTGTGGCGTGAGCAGGTGCTCACTGGCATCCTTGGCAGTTCCTCCACACCTCCTTCCACAGGCCTCCCCCTCACCGGTCCCATTGTGCACTTCTGTGATGGCTTTCCCTTTTTCTCCTTGAATGGGGTCAGGGCTTGGGGATGGGGTCGGGAGGAGTGAGAATTCTGCAGGATGACACAGAAGTGTTTCACTCACATGTCTCTGAAGGCACTTCCCCCACCTTCTTTCTGCCCTGGGGGAAGGATCCAGAAAGGCCCCCTAAGGCTGATGGCATATGAACTGGTAGCGGAGAAGGATCTTGGTGCAGATTCCAGTTCTGTCATCCCTCCCAGGCAGCCTCTTTGCTGCCCTCTTTGCTAGGACAGTCCTGGGGGAGGGTTGCTATGCAGGACCTTATGGGAATAGGATGGTTAGGATCTTAACCTTTACTATATTTAATAGGAATGGAGAGAAAGCCTTTCAGCAAGAAGCTTATGGGAGCTGAAATTCCCACAGAACCCAGCGCATCAATCAAAGCAGGGTTTGGGGAAAAGAGTTCCTGCTCCAGGGAGCTTGGAAAACTTTGCTTGGATTTCTTGTTTTTCTCCTCCTCCTCCTCCTCCTCCTCCTCACACAGATGACTGATGAATACATCGATACATAGTGGTTTCCTGAAAATGTGAGGCTGGAAGGTGGAGGGGAAACATGTGAAGGGAAAGTTGGTCCCCACGGAGCCACCAGGCTGAGTGCTGACACCTGACCTGAAGAGCTCCTCTGAGGGGCCTCAGGAGAACACAGTTGCCTTCAACCAGGGTGGCTCTAGCTCCACCCGAGAACTCCAGGGAAACCAGGTATGAAATCGGTGGGGACGGGGGGGGGGCGGGAGGAGGGAAGGAAAGAAGGCACTCGAAAGGAAGGGAAATGAAAAGAATGAAAGGACAATTCTAATTTGGGGGACAAGAGAAAGAAAGACGACATTAAAAAAGAGAGAGGGCTAGATGGACTGAAACCACAGCAAAGCCCAGGGCCCCGAGAAACTTAGCAGAAAGAGGGGCGCGGCGGCGGCCCATCCCCATGTTTGGGCACGTTACAGAGTCGTGGCTCCCGCTCTTGAGTCCTGCCCTGGGAGGGACAGTATCTGTTTAGATTTGTGTCTAAATTTAAACCCTGATCGTCGGCCTCCCTCCCCTGCTCCCCTCCCCTCCCCTTCCTCTTCCCTCCTCCCTCCTCCTCCTCCTTCCTCGTTCTCTCGCGCAGGCCCCCGCGGCCGGGGCAGTCCCGCAGCCCAGCGCAGCCTGGCGCGCGCCGCCGCCCACTCGCCCCGTGCCCGCGGCAGCCCGAACCTGGCCCTGGCCCAGAGCCGAGGGGACAGCAGGGATCGCGAGCTCCTGCTCCCAGCGAGGGGCGCGCCAGCCGAGGAGCCGGCACCTGAAGGACATGGAGGTAAAGGACCTCGGCGGGGACGCGGGGACGCGGGGCCGGGCGGCGAGTGGGGTCCCTCTGGCGCCTGCTCCCCAGGCAGCTGCCCCTGCTCGGAGCAGGGGCGCGCGGCTCATCGCTGCAACCAGGCAGAAGGGCAAATGCCTGCTGCCCCGATGCCTCTTTGGCCAACTCCGGAGGATTTTCCCTGCTCCTACCTAGGAGACCCCTGCGGGCAGGCAGGGGGTCCGCAGGGGAAGCCCTCAGAGGGAGAGCAGAGGGGCCGTCCTAGGGGTCCAGGCAGCTCAAATGCTTTAGAAGTAAAAGAGCTAGCTGCAGCCAGGGTTTGTAACTGGGCAAACGTGGGAGCGAAACCGCACGGAAGCAGAAGCCCCTGACTCTGAAGAGATGGGTACTGAAAGGGAAACAGGACTGGCAACGCCAGGCCAGCGCGTCTTTGTGGGTCTGTGGGCTTCCGTCTTCACTCGCAGAGTGGCCTTTGGAAAGTCCAGTTGTCCTCTTGCTTCTGAAGTCCCTCTTGTGTCTGTCACATTTTCTTTCAGAACTTTCTGAAAAGCTCCCCTCACTGGGTAAATGACCCCATTCTGCTAAAACTCAGAGACTCCCCTGGAAGCCCCTTGCCTTCTGAGACTGTGTGTGTGTGTGTGGGGGGGGTGTCCTGGCCACATTTGTGTGGTGTGCCTAGAGTGAGGCCCAACACGTCTCTGCTTGCTGAGAAGAGGCTGGGACTCTCCATGTGCTGTCCCAATCTCCAGGGGCCGGGCAAGCACCTTCCAGCAGGGTATGGCTAGGTGTATCCCCTGCACCCATGTCTCGGAGATTTCCCCCCTTGAAACTGAGATCTGGTATTTAGCTCTAAGTTAATCTTAGTAGGACCTGAGGCTTTTGAAAAGAAGAAAGGAGAAGGTGCAAATGTTATGTAGTTTTTAAGGTGATTCCCACTCATACTCAAAAGGAAAGCTGTGCTTTCACTGGGCTGCGGTGGCAGCAATCGGATTCACAGCAACCCTGCTGTCTCGTCCCAGATCCAGGCTCTCTGCCTGTGTCCTGGCTCTTCCTTCCAAACTAAGACTCAGTGCTTGCCTGTGAAGCTCTGTGACTTCTCTAATGTGGTGACAGGTTTGTCCCAGGGAGCTGTATTCAGGCATCCAGCTCAACCAGTTGTCTTCAGGGAACTGGGATCACCTTCAGGGAGACTTTACCAAGTGTCAAAGTCACTGGAGTCTGAAATGGACCCTCTGTAAAAACACTCACAAGGTAGGGAAACTCCAGCAGATTAGGGCTGGGGGCAAGAAAAACATACAGCAAAGCTCAGCAGGTGGTGTTCACAAGTCTACTCAAAGATCGAGCAAGCACGGAGCAACAGGATCCTTTCTGAGCTGACTGCTGCTTCAGAGCAGAGGAGAGAAAGGACCCAGCTTGTTGGGTTGAGTGAAGGCACCGTAAGGAATCGCTTCAGAAGTGGCTTCTCTCCTCTGGGAGAATATAGGGTGCCTCAGGCCCAGGCTGGAGGTTTGATAGGATTTATGACCTGCCTAACCTCTTGTAGAAATGAATTGGAGATAAGAGGGAAAGAAATCTTAGTCATCAAACAGGTTGCTGCTTGAGGGCCAATTGCGAGTTAGAACTTTGTTCTAGCAACACATAGAAAGTCTCCTTCCACAGAGGCACTTTTTCCTCCCTTAGTTGAGGAAGGAACAGTGTGTGGCAGAGGCCCTGAAACTTCAGGGGAGCAACTTCCTGTGCAGCTTGAGGGGGTGGGAAGCAGGAAAAGAGAAGGCCCTCCAGTCTACCAAGATGTGTAGTAACTGATGAAAGATTCTGCCAAGAAACCCAATCATTCCTCTGCGGGGGTCTGGGAGACCCAGGGAAGGATTGCGCAGCCAGCCAGGGAGCCTGACCTTCCGTCCATTTGTCGGCCGGCAGTGACTGCTTTTGAAATACCTTTGTCAAAACTCTCAAAAAAATAACTGCACCTGCTAGGACCGGTGAAAGAAGTGAAGAGGAAACCAAGGGGTCAGGGAAGTGACGCTTCTTAGACAGGAAGTAAACTTTCACGGTAGGGCATGATATGCAGAGAGGTGCATGACCAGGATCTGGGGATTTCTGAAAGTCTGTGGAGAGGTAAAGGCCATTTTTGAGACATGCAGGCACTACTGTATTGGGGAAGAAACTGAGTTACAGTACTTCTCAGTATTAGGAATTCAAACCAGCCCAACAAGGCTTGCTCAACACTCACTCTGTAGAGCCCACTTACCTATTGGAAGTCTTTAAGAAATCTGAAGTCACCATTACCATTATCAGCAACACCAACCATTACTTCAGCCCTCATTACATCTTCTGGAAAGGCAAAGATGCCGTCTGATCCCCGCCTTTCAAAAGCTCACCATTTGGTAGAAGAAATGAGGCTTACTATAACCTGTCATGTATACAGTTTTCAAATGCACAAGCACCAGATGAATACACAGCAGACCCTGAGCTCTGCGGGAATTCAGAGGAGAGGAGACTCAGAAGAAGCCTCAAAAGAAAAGTGGGGGTGAGGAAGAGAAGGCATAAGGAATGGGTGCAGGGAGGACATGCCAGCAAAGCAGGCCAGTTGTCTGGAGAGGAAGGTAGAGAAACAGTAAGAGAGAGAAAAAAAGAAAAAAAGAATGAAGTAATAAGATAAAGGCCAGGGCTGCTGAGTAGATACCCAGCTAGGTAGATGAGTAGAACTGAAATCCAAGCCACCTGGAGGAAAGTTATTTTTTCTTCACACAAAGTCTCCTTGCCTAGCTGAGCCCCAAAGAAGTGCCTTATTCTAATTCATGCAGAAGCCATCTGCAGCCCTTGAGGGCCAGATTCTGGTCCATGGACAGCAGGACACTCTGGGAGGGCTGAGTAGCAGTGATAATATAGCAAAAATGCCAGTTCCTGGAGTGAGCAAGAGAACTAGGTTAGGGGGCTTCTTGGAGAGTCCAGGTATATTCTGACTTTAAGAGATCATAAGAATAGAAAAGATGGAAAAGAGTAAAGACCATGTGCTGGGGGAGAAATCATGATCACCGCAGTGCCCAGAAGAGTGGAGTTCTCCGTGATGCCAGGAGAATGGCAGGATCAACTCTCAGAGCTTTGTAAGCCCTTTGCAGGCAGGGCTATCTTCCTGGCTTCAGGTCTCCAGAAGTGAGCATAGTGCCTAGTAAATAGTCATGAAACTTTTCAATAAAAGCTGACTGGATGCACCATTAACAGAAATAGGATGCCTCTTTCCCTTTCAGTGTGTAGCTCAAATGCCTCTACCTCTGAAAGCCTCCCGAGATGCTCTTAGGCTGTACATCACTCTCACAGCACTTTGTTCAAACCACTGTGAGAGCACCAGGCAGAACTGTAACTGGTCAGCCTACCTGGCTGTCTCTCTCGAAGGCATATAAGATATGGTCCCTTCCCTCAAGTAGGAAGGGACCATATCTTATATACCATGTTTCCCCGAAAATAAGACCTACCCCAAAAATAAGCCCTAGCAGGATTTTTATGCATTTGTTAAATATAAGCCCTACCCCGATAATAAGACCTAGTGATGGGCGTGGCTATGCAGTGTATCTACATAGCCACGCCATGCATTTCAGCGTGAAGAGGAAGACATCCCCTGAAAATAAGCCCTAGTGTGTCTTCTTGAGAAAAAATAAATATAAGACAGTGTCTTATTTTCAGGGAAACACAGTATTTAGGGCCCAATGGGTACCCAAGAAAGATTTGTGGAATGAGTGAGTAAATACATTACTGGCGATGGGAGAAAGATCAGATTTTTTTTTTTTTTTGAGACAGAGTTTCACTTTGTCACCCTCAGAAGAGTGACATGGCACCATAGCTTACAGCAACTCTAACTCTTGGGCTTAAGCAATTCTCTTGCCTTAGCCTCCCAAATAGATGAAACTATAGGCGCACGCCACAAAGCCATATTTATGGAACATTTATTACATACCAAATGTTGTATTTCAAATGGGCTTAAAAATTATGGGACTATCGTATCTTTTCATCCTAACAGACTGGCAGGATGACTGTTGATGAGGGTGTGTGTTTATGCGTGCGTGTGTGCATGTGTGTGTGTACACTTACACTTACTGGTGTATGTAACATGCTCATTTGGCAACCTACTTTTTTATCCATATCTTTTTTCCTCAGGAAACATTGTCTACTGTATTTTTTTAAAACCTGAGGGCTAAGAGATAAGACAGAAACAGAATCCATGCCTTTACAAAGAGCGTTCTGAGATTTCACGGTGAAGCACTGGTAGAAACATCCAAAACCTTTGCTGTCTCTGACCCACCCTCTCCCTGAGCCATGTGTTGGCTGCTGGTTGGGGTCAATGGGTCATAATCAGGAAATGTGGAGCCTCTGAAGCTAGAGTTTGGCTTGGAGAACGTGTGGGTAAGTTGAAATAGCCCGCATTCCTCTCTGGCTCACACGTGCTCTGTGGGACCCTCACAGCCTCACTGGCTACCACCTAGCAGACAGCTTCCATTTGCGGGAGTTTCAGGCAGTCAGACAGTAAGGTTGGGCCCAGGCCTATCTCAGGAGGGGTGAGTGTGCATTCCTGGGAAGGAGTCGGGTTTCAGAGCCTGATCCACAGCGTGGCTCCTCTCAGCGAGGCCGCCAGAGCCTGGCGCACACGGTTCCGTGGGAAATTGGAACACTGGCGGCTCAGCAGCCTGGTAATCTTATCAGGGCGGCAAGAGAAAGCATTTCAGTTCCAGAGAAATCTGAAGGCAGCACTGCCTTCCTCCAGTAATAATATTTTAGATTTGCAGAGCCAACCTGACCACCCTGTTCAATTCACTGGAATCTGAAAAGTCTCAAAGCTCTGGGTGGAATAAAACGGTCTCTAATTGCTCCCTGCCAGGGCACAGAGGGACAGACCAGCTCACCAAGAGGTATGCGGAGGGTTTAGGTGCTGTTGGGTCTTTGGAAAGCCAACAGCTTACAATTTTTCTCTGACCTAGGGACTAGTTCAGCCTAGGTCTTAA